CTCCGCAATCTCTTTCCCCTCGCTTATCAAGCCCGGAGTGTGCCGGAGAAAACTAAATAGAGGGGGGGGGAGGGGGGGGGGGGGGTGGGGGGGGGGGGGGGGTTGAGTTTGGACATGTAATTACTGTTAATTCGTCGGGTCAGATGGGGTTCGGAAATGATGGCTATGGGCTGGGGCCAGGTTGGGTTTTTTGGGCCCGAATGCAACTCTAGACAGCATAATGCACAATATCTTTGAAACCTTGGCATTAGCTATTGAGTCATCCTGTTTGTCTGTTAGCAAAATATCTAATAAAACACTGAAGGGATTTTTTAATACGTTATCGCTGGATATACATCTACAAATGATTGAGTCCACTGGGTTCAAGGTGGTCACCTCAGCTAATCAACCTTATTCCATCCACCAATTTCTATACCTCAGTCAATTTAAATAAAACTGAACTAAAATATTTTTGTAGTCACTCGTTAGCTAAGCGCTAACAGATCATAGAGGATATCACAATATTGCATGAGACTGTGCAAAATGTTATTAAAGTTAAAGTAAAAAAGCTACAGAGTGATTATTTATCAACATAATATGATTTTCTACAACTTAAACACTTAAATGCCTTCAAGTAAACTAGGCCTTACATTTTCAAACTAATTATATCGAGGGGGGAAAAGTTACGTTTGCATTCAGAAGTTTTTGCGGGCTGACTTTTGGCAGAAAGTATTTGGAGATATTTGAAGTATTTGTTTGGTCAGGAGGCAGATGTATGGGTGAAGCCATGATCCATACTTTCTTCTTTTGAAGTTTATTTTTTTGTGATTTTTTTTTTATTTATTTTTTAACTGTACTGAAGAAAAAGTACATTTTTACCCTAAATGTAATGTTTTTCTCCGGGCGTGTGTAGTCTAGCTCTGCACAGACACTGAGGAAGAGACAGCTGGATAAATCAGCAGAAGCAGACAGTTATGACTCAAAGCAAAGAAAGAACAAACTATTCTCTTCTACAGGGAGGGAGGTGTTCTAACTCCTGGTTTGCAGGGGATCTGCAAACCAGGAGTTAGAAGAAAAAAAAAAGGGTGCGTGAACGACAATGGGCTGTTTCATTTAAATGATGGTGGATTACTCAAACTATCCAACAGGCTGAAAATACCTGCAAACATGCAGATAAACATCATGAAAAACATAAATACATTGCATGACTGCCGCACACTCAGACACACACGGTTAATGCCTCAGCCACTTACTTGGCTTTTTATTTGCAGTTATTTTTAAGTTCCTCCAGTGCTGAATCATTGTATTTGTGAGTCACACCCATGCATCATCCTAATCCTAAAATATGCACAAGCAGCAACACTCCAACATTTTTACTCCTCACTTTTGCTCATGCCTCCCTTTTCTGTTTTATGTTCTTCATGGCAGACAAAGGAACCTTGTCTTTTTTTTTCTCCTCAGTGTGTGTGTGTGTGAGAGAGAGAGAGTGTGTGTGTGTTTGCGTGCACATGTTCTTGCATGCATACATTTGTACATGTGAATGGGCATAACTTCAACTTCTGCTTGGAGACAATCCTGACTCGCCATGTCTCTCTCGCTTTCTGTCTGTCTGCCAGTCAGATCCGCTTATATGTGGTGCGCACGTGCACACACACCCACACACACACATACAAATGCACTCACCACAAACTCATAAGGAGTATGAATTTCTCAAAATACCTCTGGGGACAATTCAGAACATAAGAGAATAATGAAAAAATGCGCCTACCCTCCTCTTTTTATTTTCTCTTTTATTTTTACTGAACTCTGCCTTGGCTTGGACGAAAATGTTCAAATAAATATACCGTAGGCAAAACACTTAAAATAAAAAATAAAACAGAGAGAAATAAGGAAGATGCAGAAAATATACATTATAAGAGAGCAGCAGCTACAGTATCGACTTTTGACATATTTTAGAGAAGGGACTATGGCCACCTCTTCTAGCTTTGCATGTGCATACATAAACTACGCACTTATGCACACTCACACCAGCTCTGCTGCTCGCCAAACATCTGGAGCAAAGTTAGAAAACGCTGAATGAAAGAATCTTAAATAACACTGGATTGTTGTATGATCTTATAACCAGCAGCCAACCAAAGCAAGCCTGTATGAGTTATCTGTCTCAGAGATTAACTTCTTTTACATTTTATATATATATATATATATATATATATATATATATAT